AGGTCTCCTTTGTAACTCCTCTGCAGTACTTCACCAGTCAGATCAAGTGTGATGCTGTCTCTACCACGTAGTTTCCTGTGACAGTCTATCCCTTTCTCCTCTCTCCTCCCATTGGTTGTCTGTGTTAGGAAGTTGCCTCCTTACGGATCTGCAGAGTGTCTCTAGTGTATCTGAGAACCTGATACCCACTCTGTATGTGTTTCAAAGAGGTATCTTAGAGCAGTTCTGTTCTGGTCTTGTGTGCTGAGTCCCCTTAACAGCTGGAGACGCATTTGGTGCATTCCTAGAGTGCATCTTGCAGTTTAGCCTTATCTAAAAAAAGGGGGTTTGTACACTCCCAGACTGCTCTATGACGCTACCAGAGCATGGTAGATACTTACTGTCAGGAGACTTGCTTTGAAAAGTGAAATCACAGTGTGAAGTAAAATGTTAACAGTAGACTTGGCCTTTGTGGACCATTTTAAGGTAACAGGATTTGTACAGTCTTTCCTTCTGTAAATCCAGTGGAGTTCTTGGCAGTCACAATAACTTGTGAAATGATGTGTAGAGTTTATCAGAATGTGGACTGTCATTGCAGCATTCATAAAAATCTATAAATCTATTTTTATTTATAGTATAACACACTGAATCTTTGTTTCCAAGGTTACCAAGATTAATACAGTTATTGATTCTGAGTGTCTAGTTCCATTTTCATATATTCCGATGTTTCTTACTTGACCAAATGAACCTTTCAGTTAGCCACAACTCCATGTCCTGGACACTGACTAATAGCAAATTGCAAAAGACTGTTGTGGTGTCAAGGTGATGTTTTGTTTAAGAAGCTGTTGTGAGTGGGTGTGTCCCTTAGCTTGCTTAGTTGCAATAGTGATTTGCGCAAGAGCTGTATCATCCGTGCCTACTGTCCCCAAATCAGTGGTGTGGTCTAGTGTAAACAAAGATAAGATGTAACCCTATATCTGTCATGGTATCAAAGATACTGACAAGACATTAATCTAGGAAATCTTAAGATCTCGATCTTAATGTTGAGTATTTTCTCATATAGTAATAAAGATTAAACCTATTTTTGTTCCTTTTGAGTTATGTGTAACTCATCTGAACCTAAGCTTCCAGTTGGACAATGCTCCTGGATTATTCTGCTCTTCTAGCTATAGGTTTGACCTCTGATCTCAGGCAAGGTAGGTGAATGCTTTAGTGTATCTCAGCTGTCCCAGATATCCTTCATTTCCCCAGGAGAGAATAGCTGGCACTTACATTCTTTGATTTAAGAACTTGTAAGCCTGTGTGCAGTGACAGCCGACTTGCAAACTGGGATTTAAGGCGGAGCAGGTGAACTGTGAAGCGAGGATCCATGCTCTCTGAAATTGGTGGTCTTGTGTTACAGGTACATAGGAATGGAAGCAGATGTTATGCAGAATTACATATTCTTCTCTCACTGTTTTGGAAGTGTTAGGTTTTTGCTGAACATTGCTTTATTAGTGGTGCTAAGTTCAAATAATGCTTCTGACTAATGCTGGTGGCAGTGGTAGTTTCTGCTATTTTGCACTTGCATACCATTTTGAAGTGGCTTTGGTTTCCTTTGTCATATACAAAGGATAGTGCTGTAGGAGTGATCTCTTTGGTACAGAAGATCCTGTGAGATGACACCCTGAGTGACCTGTTTCAGCAGTCTTTGTATTTTTTTTTTCTGAATATGCAGTCACTTTTGCAGCAGAGCAAGCTGATTTTTCTCCTAGCTTTACTTAAGCAGGATACAAAACATTGGGTAAAAATGTTGTGCTTTTTAATTTATTTTTTTATCCTGTTTTCTCTGTTCTATCCCATCTGAGTCCATTTCAACTCTGTTAAACACAGTAATCCTGTTCCCATCTCTCCCCTACTCAAAAAACGATGTCCATGTATTTGTAGTAGCTCCCTGTTGAAACATAACATTTTTCAGTTGTGATTTCCTGATCTAGATGCCATAAACTTAATTTGACACTTTCCTTTATGGTGTTTTTGTAAACAAGCTAACAGTCCAATGCCACATCTATTACTTTACTCTGATTTCCTCCACTGTCCTGGGAGCTGGCTCAGGAGAACAGTGGCATGACATGCACTCGACAGATGTGCTGTTCACTTTTCATCAGTTTATTATTTTACGTGTGTTCTTAAACTGATTAATAAGTTCAGCATTGTTTCCCTGGACAGTAGATAATATGGTGGCTTTGGATTGCAGATGCCTGGGGAGAGAAGTTTTCCCATCATCTCAACCTTGGTGAATGCATGAAAGTGGCTGCTGGGCTGAGTTCTTGCTGTGTTATTTTTCTTGAGTAACTTAGGATGAAAGAACTGAGGCTTGAATTGACATTTTACCTGGAATCTGCAAAGTCGTGGTGGCAGGATTACCTTCTCATTAATGATCTACAAAAGCTAATGTGGTTGTTCCATTTAAAATTCCATGCTGAGTGGAAGGCCATGATTTTTTAAGTCTCTCGGATGTTTTGCATGTATGCAACTGCTTCTTTTTTGCTGTGGCATTATATTATAAAGGCAAAACTGAGAGACTAACAGGGACTGGATGTTTTATAGAGATACTTATGGAACCTTAGCTTGTGTGTGCTGGCTTTGCAGGATTAACCGGTCTGTTTCCCATGACTCCAACCTGCTAGGGTTTTTTCTTCAACCCTAGAATGTCTGCAGTGTGTCAAATCTTTCTTTTTTATTTTCTGCTTATAGATGATATAATTAAACTGAACAAGAAAGAAGAGAGAAAACAGTATTCTCCCAAAATGAAGAGAGCGCTTCAGCAGAACCGAACTCGACAGTTCAGGACACCAGGCTCCAAGTGGGGAATCCAACAGCAGAAAGGTGTGTGTGTCAAACGTTATGTGGATTGTGCAGCATTTTCGTTTGAGCTGGAATGTAACCTGATGAAAGTGTATGGATTGATCTGGTCAATTCAGATGTCTTTCAATAGTGTCATACGCAGCTTTGATTGCAATTCAGTTCTTTGTGATCCATTTATGTTTGGTGTTGTTTCTGGTTCAGTGTGAGAAAGTCATTGGCCAACAGGGAGCTTAGGTGCCTGATGGACTTGACTCAAGGAAGGGTTGGCTTTCTTTCTGATTTTTTAAATTTTTCTTAATTTTGGAAATTGTGTTGATATTTTGTCCCTTCTCAGAGATGGATAGAAAGAGTGCTGTGCCAAGGCCTGTATATTAGGGAATGTGGAGGCCTTGCCAGAGCTCGGAGGTTTGTGCAAAAGAGCCAGCGTATTTGGTTTTGCTAGGTAGAATTCTCCTAGTAGGCTTCCCCAAAATAGCTGTTACTGCAGACTCCATTACTGCCTCTGGGATATGTAAATGGATAGTGCAAAGTGTCTGAGTTGGCTTTTCTTGTTAAGACCTGGGAATGCAAAGGAAGCGCCATGTCAGCCTTCTTAAGCAAATGTTTTTACAGTGCAATACAAAAGTGGGGGGAAAAAAGTCATAGGCAGTGAGTAAAGAGAGGAAGAGTGCACAGTAACAGCTTTACTGTAGGTTCTCTGAATAACTGTCAGGGTTGGGTTGTCTTTTTTGTAAAGACAAGTCCTATTCTGAAATTATTGCCAGGTTTTAGTCCTTTACTTGGCCAGTACCTGCTTGAGACATAGACTGGTTTTGCTTACGTGGAACTTTGAGAAGTACCTTGTTAGCACTGGATTATCAAAATATGGAAAAATAGTCTAATCAGAAAGTTTACCATGTCAAATCAAGCTAATGAGTGTTTAGGTTAACACATGCAATTTGTTAACATTGTAACATTTGTGGAATGTCGTGTTGCTCAGCACTCAGTTTTTCTTTTTATACAGGCTAACGTAGCAATTACTTAATTTGTGCATCTTTAGTAAATTGGTGACAGTGCAGAAAAATACATCAGCCCACGTGTAGGGTAGGTGAGAGATTAAATATTCGGGTAGGTGAGAGATTAAATGAATTTAAATTGCAGATTTCTATAATTAATTGGTTTTGATCCAAAGGCCACAAAGTAAGCAAGTATTAGAATTTCGAATTTTAGGAGGAACTTGAGCTGCAAATATAAAACTAAATACAACCATTTTGGCAGTTACTTTTTTCTTGTGGTACCTTCTCTCCTTGTGTGCTTTTGTTCTAGAAAAAGCAAACATTGTTTTGAAAAATTGCCAGATTCATGACATGTTGAAACATTGTGAATAGCTCTAACTGCTTCTTCCCATACAGCTCTGCACATTTTCTCCCACTGAAAGCAAACCTCTTCTATATTGTTTTTTGAGCAGAAGGTATCATTAAATAGTTCTGAGCATTCCAGTTATTAGTATCTTATGATCCATAGATTTATTGCTGCACCATTGCCACTGAAGTGATTCTGATAAGCAGCAAATCCTCTGTCTGTGGACAGCTACAGAAACCACAAATTATCAACAGCACTCAATTCCTTGTGGTTTTAGAAGTGGCTGCCAAACTCTCTGGAAAGAAGCAAAGAACTTGAGCTGGGACTCTTTTCAGCTTTTGGGGGAGAAACAGAGAGAAGAACATTGTTCATTCAAATAAAAGTTGTCCTTGGTGATACACAGAATGCAATTGCACAAAACCCTGTGCAGCCTGAGCTAACATGGAGGTTGGTCCAGAGAGCCTGTGAGGTCCCTTTCTCAGCCTAAGTAACCCCCTTTCTCAACTTTTCTGTTTGAAAAGAAGAGCATTCGCTAAAGATCCACAAAGAGTGGGGAAACAGCAGCTGCTGCATGGCTGATTTATCTAAGCTGGTTTCTGATAGATGGGTTACCTCATGCGATGGCTCCTGTCTCATGAAGAAGCAGAGATTTATTATCGATGCTATTAAGTCAGCTGTGTCAAAGCTAGATGTGTCTGTTGCTATTCCTTAATCTTAAATTTATCTTGCAGGGGGTGATACTTGGGAACAAAACTGAAGCGTGGTCTGTATTTGTGGCGTGAAGCTAAATGGCTCCAGACAGGGTTAACTAAACCCTTGTAACTGGAGATTTCAGATGTTTATACTACAGACCTCAGACTTACAAGCCTTTTATATTCAAAGGCTGCTTTCAATTCTCAGTTTTGTCCAGGCTGCCATGCAGACTTCTAATTGAAAACACTTCAGATGTGATGTAATTCACAGGCTGTTTAATATGGTTTTGTGGGCCGGTTGCTATATTCTTTTTTTCTTAAGACATGTCTTGGGAGCCACTGATGTAAATAAATAAGCTTTGAAGTTGCCCTTTTTTTTTTTTCTTTAAAATAAACTGGTAATTTAAAGTTTGCTGAATGGGTGGAGAGCTGTTTGGTTTGGGTTTGTATTATTCAGTACTTCAGGTTCTGGTTTGGAGGATTTTGGTAGTTCTCTATGCCAGAATGAGTCTTTAAGTTGTCTGTGTAGGCGTGTTAAATAACACATTTTCATCAGAAATTTAATGCAATGAACTAGAGCAAAACTGATGTGTCTGAGAAGCTGATTATTGTTGTGCTGGGGCTTGGGCCAGACCTGCTAAAACAACCGAATTACAAAATCGTCTTCAAGTGTAGTGATAGCTTCTGCTCTAAGGCTTGAAGTGTTCAGGTAAATAGCTTGTTTTGCCTGTGTAGCATCTTAAAGTAATAAAACTTTTGATTTGATAAGAATTTGTGAACTCTCAATGCTTGTTGCAGGTTATGGTAAAAATCGTTTGGGACGCAGAAAGAAGATAGCAGGGAAGAAGCGTTCTTACGGAGTTATAACTGGCTTGGCAGCCAAGAAAGCAATGGGTTCACGCAAAGGAATTAGTTCTCTGAACAGACAGCCACTTAGCGAGAAGGTAATTAATGCGATTCTAGTGGTTCACGCAAGAACGGATTAAAAAATGAAACAATGACTTCAGAACAGTGCTATTGAAATATGAAGTGGAGACATGTGGTACAACCTTTTGTTAAACTGGGGATATTAGCCGACTTTTTGTTTGTTTTGAGGGAGTGCTTAATGATTACGTTTGAAAGTTGGGGTTTTAATCACTTAATTGGGTGTCATGAGAATTGAAGTACAGAAGTATGTTCTGTGCAAGTATCAAGGTAGTTACTGTGTTTTCACTGTAAGAAAAGCTCATTTACTAGGATTTCTTGGGTTTGCATTGCTTTGTTACCAAATATCATAGAATGGTTTGGGTTGGAAGGGACCTTAAAGCCCATCCAGTTCCAACCCCCCTGCCATGGGCAGGGACACCTTCCACTAGACCAGGTTGCTCAAAGCCTCATCCAGACTGGCCTTGAACACTTCCAGGGATGGGACATCCCCAACTGATTCAGCCCTTGTGCAGGTGTTAAGCATGTATTCAGTATTGCTTTTTTGCATTTTTGGAGAAGGGTAATTTTAAAGACGTAAGGCATGTGTTTTGTGAGTTTAGGGAAATACTGTTATAATCAAAAATTAACTGCTAAGCCCTGCTGGTTATTTTGTTGGGTGTTTTTTTTTTTCCCCCTGCCTGGTAAAGAGGAGAATGTAGAATTCATGAAAGTGTAGAAAATATTTTCAAATTATACTAGGCTGTGAAAGGTAGGCAAATCCAGATGTATTCTGTATGCAGTTTCTAAATGGAAATTGAAGAGTGTTTGTGTGTATACATTATAGGCATGTGCTCTATATATTTATTGTTTTTTAAGAACACACAGCGGAATTATCCAGTTTTGAAAAGGAAAACAAACCTGCAGAGACAATTTGAAATGCAGAGAAAACAAGCTCCAGCCCTCAGGAGGCCTGCCCTGCTAAACAGAAGGTAAAATACCAAGTCTGCTTTCTGAACTCTTGGCTGGTGAGTCTTGTTTGATTGGGCCAAGTCCAAGAGAAAACAGTAGGTACTGGCCGTAGTAATACGGCCAAGACTGTTGTGTGTGAAGTTCTACAAGTCTGGAAGCCAAGTATGGGGCAACATGGTCTCGATACGAAGCCAGATATTTATTACCATGTAGAGCACTCAAGAATTTCCTCTGTTTGTGGGCACCTGGTGTTCTGCCTTCACGTAAATCATAGGCACCCTGTACAGAAATGGCCAAGTGACAGCCACGGTTTAGTGAACTTTCTAAATAAATGCCTTTGTGAAGCTGGTGCCATCTTCTGTTTCGTGGAAGCTATTGCGTGTTTAATTTGTGCTGGAAATAACACGTCTATTATGACCTGAGTCTTAACTGGTCTCCATGATGAAAATTTTCACTCTGTGACTGTTGTGGAAACTGTAAACAAACTTTCTCTATTCATACAAAGACTGCTCATTTTTAAAATCTAATTAGCAGTGTTTAAAGTGCTGGAGGATTCCGAGCAAAGTAAAAAACACAATTAATAATCACACTGTCCTGTGATGCAGGAGTGCTATTTGTGACTCCATTTACGAGTGATGTGTTTGGTTCCTAGTAGAGGAGAAGCTTATTGCAACTGAAAGGTACAGCCTGAAAGAGGCAGCATTGCAGATGTCCTTAGGGATATATTGGGCACTTTCCTGACTTTCATAGTGGTCTCTTCAAGATGCTATCTGTGGAGCCTTTGATAACTGTATTTTATTAAATATTACAGGAATAACATGCCGTCTGCTTTTGCCAGAATTGGAAACAAACTCAATCAGCAGAAAGACACTCGTCAAGCAACTTTCCTATTTAGAAGGGGCCTGAAGGTAATAAAATTTACTGAAAACAACAGCAAAATTGTGGCAGAGGTTCCAAGGTAACCTGTAACACTGATATTAATGAAACGACTTCAAATAGCAGATCTGAATAGAAACTTCAGGTGAAATTGGAAATAGGCACGAGTTCTTGGAGGGAAATGTACCTGACCAGTTACTGTAACCCACTGAGTCTTGCTTCCTGGTCCAGTGTAGCTCACATGTTGTGAGGGGCATGGAACTTGTCAGAGTGTTTGAGGGTAGTTACAAGCTGTTCATTATTCTTTCTCAAACTAAATGTTAGAAAGTACTGTGTAGCTTTCAACAACTGCCCCTGGGTGAAGGGTAGAGCGGAAACATGTTGTAGAAAGTGATTATTTGGGGTTTTGTGGGGTTTTTGGGTAGTTAGGGTTTATTATTTTGAGTAAGATCAAGAGAATAGAGTGTGTGCAGTGAATGTTTTGGGTAGTTAGGGTTTATTTTGAGTAAGATTAAGAGAATAGAGTGTGTGCAGTGAATGGTAGTGATGTTTTTGCTTTTCATTTGTGCCCTCATTCTACATCTGCCACTGTTGTGACAGTGGGTAGCTTCTGTCTTCCATCCAGATGGATTGCAGAATTACAAGCATGATCACGAGGGAGAAAAACAAAACCAAACAGCAGTGGGATTTAATGGCATATTGGATATTAAGTGGGTCAAATTTGGATCAGATTAGGAACTAGCCAGGTTTTTCTTGCTGGCCTGGTAACATTTTGGTGTATCTTGGTAAGGTGTATGTTTGTTGACATAGTCCTCAAAAACATTTCAGTCTCTTTATTGTTTAAGTTACTGTCATTGAGAACTTTGTTTAAATCATTTTGTGTTCTTAAAGCAATTACTTCCCAATGTCTTACATAGGTGATAGGATAGGTATCTTTTAAGTCCCTCTGAAAGCACAACCCTGTTTGTGCAGTGTACAAACAGCTTTAAACTTCTGGTCTTGAGCGGCTCTGTTTCCAGCTGCTGCAGTGGGAATTGAAACAGTATTCAAATACTGTGTCTGTATTGTGTTTTCAGGTGCAGGCCCAAGTGCAGTCAACAGATGATCTAGATAATCAGACAGTAAAGAGAACTCGTCAGTAAGTATTTAATTTGGAAAACTTCAGTTTGGTTACTTGTGTGATTTTTGTTTTAGCTCTGGCTTCCTGGCTATGATAAATGAATGGGATTTTTTTTCCCCTGTAGGAATATCAACTGAGTGACAGTGATCCTCCTCCCATTCTCAGTTATTTCCTAAATTATCTTCTAATTTAACCAGGAGGAGTTTGTTTGCATAAAACACTTGCAGTCATGAGGGGGAAGGTGGTAGCTTCAGAGGATCTGACTTATCTTTACCACTCAAATACTGCATAGAGACTGGAAGAAAAAAATCAAATGACCGTGTTCCTCTGAGCTCTTGGTGTAATTTCCACTTTATTTAATACACATACAAGCTTGTGAAGCAGTTTGGAAATAAGTAAGGCAGGTCACAAGGTGGACACTCGATTCTCCCCCCACGTATTCTTCCCATATCATTCTGTGCCTGCTAGCTCTTTGCACTCGTTTGTTGGTAACACAACAGGCAGAGTAAGCAGCATATGCCACAGAGCTTGCAGTCTGTCACCTCTGTGACTTGCTGTGAGGGCGTTTTGGCCTCATCTGTGGCAAGGAAACAGTGTTTTAAAAAAGTGAACGTTTCAGTCAGTGCTGAGGTTCTGGTACACTTTGCCAGCATGGGACCCAGTGCTCAGCTGAATAGTTTAGATCATATAAAAGATACAAGGATCAATAGCCAAGCTTCTTGTAGATTGACTGCCTGTGGTCTTCACACTGTCCTGTATTCTGAAAGCTTGTACTTTCTTTACCAGCCAGTGTTTTGGGCATGCTTCTAAAGATACCTGGACTGAAATCTGCAGCGTTTTTGTATGTGATTTCTGTGTTTTCAAACTAGATGGCGAACTTCCACCACGAGAGGGGGGATTCTGACTGTGTCCATCGATAACCCAGGTGCAATCATAACCCCCATGTGAGTTTTCAAAAAAGTTCTGAAATGTTCTTATCGCAACCAAAATTGCTGTTCGGAGCCATTTCGCAAGTTCCGTGCAGATAGTATTTCAGGTGACCTCAAGGTCACAGCTTCTTCTGAAGACTTCTAAATCTGGCCCCTTTCTGAGTGTTTTTGAGCTGTGTTTGAATAATACCACAGCTGAATTTCTCTCCCAGTTAGGAGGTTGATGTGGTGCGTAGAGGTGGAGTGATGGGCCCTGGTAGATTTTTACCTTGTCTGCCTCTTCCAAATCAGACCATATTGCAGCTGTTTTCCTCCCTGTCTGAATGAAAATGACTGAGCACCCAGTTGATGAGTGATGGTAATAGTTCCTCCCTGATTTTTAAAGGTACTGCTGCAGTCATGCTTCAAGAAGGCGTTGTTGTGTTTATCTCAGAAGTTGATGGTACTATTGTTTCATGAGGTGTTTTATTTTAAAAATCTCTTGAGTGGCTTTTTTCATAGTAGCATTTTATTTATAAGGAAGACTGTACCAATTTTTTTTTTGTATTTATGGCAGTAATTAACCACAAATTATTCCTTTGTCACTAAGACTGAGGGATGAAAAGTTTGCTTCCTGTCAGGACACTTTGTCATAACAATAACGAATGCTCATGACAATAACATAGTTCTGCCTGACTTCTACCTTCTTGAATCTATGCCCTCCAGCTATTCAGCCAGCCTGATCAAATGGCTTGATGAAAATTTTATACATCTATCAGCATTAAGGCATTGTTGCATAAAACATGTACTCACGGTCCTTTGTAACATCCTTCTTTCACAGTTCCCAGAAATTACGACTAACTCGTACTCCTGTGCCACCATTTCTGATGAAGAGGGACCAGTCTGAAGAGAAGAAGATTCCCAAAGGGGTTCCACTGCAGTTTGATATTAATAGTGTTGGAAAACAGGTAAATGCAGTTTCTTTCCTTAGCTGTGGAAGTAGTTTCAAGACAGATGAACGTCAGTGAGACAGGCACTTTCAAGCTCACTAGTGACAGGGGACTGGTGACTATTTGTTGTTTCCACTTCCAGTTCTTCCACTAACTTGCTGTGTAACTCCAAGCAAGTAACTCGCTGTTCCTGTTCCTCTGGTGCGTGTCTTGCATGCCCACATGCTTTAAATGGGATTTAAAACATTGACTATTTCTAAAAGCCTTCTGGTGTTTCTGCTGTGCTTGAATCAGCAACTGTGTGTAATTCAGGGATGAGCTTCTTCCAGTTGTGTAACCTGCGTGGAACTCTGACAGCTGAATTCATACGGCAACTTTTGGGGGGTAAAAAATCAAATGTGATGACGTAAAAGCTGGAAAGACAAGCAATTTTTCATGTTTCCTGAAGACAAGTGATGTGGTGCAGGGATCTTGGTGCTGTTCTTGAAGGAATTCTTACAGGGTGGCAGTGTTAGCTGCTGCTGTAATTGGGTCCTTACTGCCAGCTGTAGAAAATGGCACGGGATCAGTGCATCGGTCCGGCTTTGTTCCTTCCATGAATGAGAAGTTTGTCAAAAGTAGTCTGCTACTGTATTGTAAAATTGAACTTTTGGGCTCTAGTGTACTGCCTCAGCTGGATGGACGGGAAAGCAGCTTGCATTAGCACCATTAAAATGGTGCATTTGGTGAAATTGCATAGAAGCTGCGCGGGCAAATGAGTGTAGTTAAAATTCCCTTTTCAGTCTGTCTGTCCTCAGTTTAACTTACAATATTTTGAGTAGGCTTTCAGTCTTGTCATTGTGTACCATGTGTTCCTAATGAATTCTGAGAAATGTATAGTCTAATCTGATTTTTAAATGGTGTGGGAAATGATGAAATCAGACCGCCTTTTTTCTTTTTTTAATCTAAGTGAGGCAATTAAGAAGTCAAGTGGTGATATAGAATGAGGAAAAAAATATTGTGTCTCCATTACTTCGATTAAATTCACTTAACTTCTTACACGTTTGTGGTGAAATGACTTTATTTTTCAGACAGGGATGACGTTGAATGAACGTTTTGGGATCCTGAAGGAAAAAAGAACAGCGCTGTCTCAGAACAAAGGAAGCCGTTTTGTCACAGTGGGCTAACCTACCAGATGGACTTGAGCACCGATCCCACCTACCTAAGAAACTGAGATAAATGGGCAGAAAAATACAGCATACGTCACTGAAATTCTCCAGACTTCTTGCCAAGGTGGTGGCAGAGCTATCGATTTCTATCACTTTTACTTCGAATGGTAAAAGACCCAATGACTTGAGGGGGGGAAAGTGGGGAAACTGGTCTGCTGGAGTGGCACCATCACCTGGTTGGAAAAGATTCTGTTGCCTAGCTGATGACAAACATTGATTTCTGGTTCATCTTGTGACCGAAACACTAATTTTAAAAGTTGGGGGTTTTTGTCTAGGAGTGCTCAGTATCTGTTCCTTGACCCCTCTGTTACAGTAAAGATTGTGTAGGTGTTTCATTACAAACCCTATTTTAGGGTTTTTTAGGGACTGCCTATGAACTTTCCTTTGGACTGGAGCTTGGCGCAGAGCCTCAGTTCACGAATACTTTGGTAGGGATGTAGCGGCATTCTCCACGGGAACATTGGTTGTACTTCTTTGTGCTTTTGAAGTTCAGGTTTTTTTCCTTTCTTGAAAACTAAGTGTTTTGCATCCTCACTTTCACAAATAAAGCTGTTAGCTGAGTCCCAGAATAGATACTTGGGATGGAGACTATTCTGCTCTTATCCTTGAAAGTGGTCCAGTCATAGTGGAGGAATACTGTGTAGGCAGTATGAGAGTAATTGATATTACAGATAGTTGAAGTTCATCGTCCTCCTCTGTAAATGTCTCCTGTATTTTCCTAAACTTTTGCTTTCTATTTCTTTTTGTAAGTTTTTTTCACAAACTTAATGCAATAACTTCACCTTTTTTTTAATAATTTCATAGGTATAAATAGAATAGTTCATAGGAATAAATATAATGGTTCATAGGAGCATCGGTGGTATGGTAAGAGTTCCTTACCCTCCAGACATAGGATTCTCATCTCGCGTACCTTGCCCCAGAGGGTTTTCTCTGGCTCCTGCAAATAGCCGGAGGTAAGCAATCCGGTGCCACTTGTATATACCAAAGAGAGGTAAGATGTGGAGCTGATCAGAAGGGGTCAGACACCTTGAAATTGGCTGAAACAGGGGAACGCTGCTGGAAGACAGCCCTCGGTTTGCCAGCGTGCAGGAGCAGGTAGTCACTTTAGGCTTAGATTTGTGCATCAGAATCCGCAGGTTGGTGACAACTGGGGCATGCTCAGTGTGAATTTATATGATCCCTAAAAATGAGGCACCTGTTCAGAATTGCTTCCAGACCAGGAATGGATGAACTCAGCCCTGTTCTATAGCAATGAGATTTAGGTAGTCAGGTAAAAGAATGGTTGGCTTGCTGCATCCAGAAATGTTTATGGTGTTTGAAGTGGTTTGATTCCTTTTATTTTTCCTGAAGAACTTATATTTGACTTCTTACAGAGTTGGTTTTATCTTGTGGTTGCACAACTATAAAAGTGGTTGCACTTTTATCTCCAATTCTGAGTTAACTAGCATTTACTGGGAACTTCAGTGTTGAAGAGCATATGACAGTGGAAGGGCTTTTGTTCATATAGCAGTTTTAAAGTCAGTGCATCCTTGATGCTATATAGTACTTAAACCCTTATTTTTAATGTTAAAAATAGACCTTAGCAGAAGCAAACTAAATGTAATGGTGTTAAGGATTTTCTTAATTACTAGTAGAAAATGTTTGGGTTTTTTTTTTAAAGGTCCCATTGTTAGAATTTGAGTAGATACAGTGTTGTCAGTCATCCTGTTTCAGTGTATACATTTTCCATGTGCCAGGATGCAACCAAAAAAAAAATTCTTTTGCATCAGCATAGATGCAAAACATTGATGCAATGCATCAAAAAATGCTAGTTTGTATTTAATGAGATGCTTTACACTGTACCTTTTGGTATTTTTTGGAGAAGTTATTACATTTGATCTATTCTGAAGCTGTTAAATCTTTTTTTTTTTTTTTAAATAAAAAGAGTTCCAGGTTTCACACTGTCTTGTTCCTGTTACGACCACTTGGGCAATATATTGGTTACGTGTATTTTCTGATGCCCTTTAAGGGGGTGCTTAATATTTACATTCTCATTAAATGTTCTGAAGAATGTCAAAAATTAGCCTCATTTAAAGAGAGCTTGGATTTGTCACCCAGCTTAATCCTGAAAATTAAGCACTTTTTGGAGTGGCACTGTATAAGCTCGCTTTCATTTAAATGTGTCAGCTACTAAGGTATCTTTCAGTAGCACCATCTAATTTACCGGTTTGATGTGATTATGGTACTAGATCCCTTAATCTGGCAGCAGAAGCACTGGTTTTCCTGTTGCCGTGACACACACCAGCGAGAAGTCGCTGTGATCTAAACCTTGCATTGCAGGATCAGCGTGAACACCCAAACGGCCGCAGTCGTGGTTTCCAGCGCCGTGCTGGCAGGAGGCTTGCGCAAGCAGTGGAAGTGCTGCTATCCGTGGTGCAGGGAAACAATGCTGCCTGTAAAGCTGTTTGATAAGGTGGTGAGTGTCTTGGCACTGCTGACAGTCTTTGTTCTTCGCTACTTGCTCGAGGCCGTCACTTGCCAGCTTCAGGCACTTGAGATGTGCAGCAGCACAAGCAGCAGATCTGCGCTTTCCCAGAGCAAAGCTGCGTTTATTTGGACATCGTGAAGAGTGTGATGATATCAAGGGAAAAAAACGTGAAGGAGACAGTGCTTTTCCCACCCAGCTCAGATATGTGCGTTTTCCCTTGGTTTGCTGCTGGAATGGGTCTGACGCAGCTCCCAGCAGCGCTGGGCAGTTCTCACCCAAAACCCAGCCTGTGCTGAGCAGCTGGTGTGGGATCCCGACCTGGCAGGTAGGCTAATGTTATTCTGAATTTCAGAAGGTGTATCATAGAATTACAGAATGGTTTGGGTTGGAAGGGACCTTAAAGCCCATCCAGTTCCAACCCCCCTGCCATGGGCAGGGACCCCTTCCACTAGACCAGGTTGCTCAAAGCCACATCCAGTCTGGCCTTGGACACTGTGGTATGGACGCTACAGCCGTTACCAAGGGAAGGCGAGTACCCTCGCACGCAGTCTACCCCAGACGAGTGAAAAAAACAGACCCGGAAAGGGGATGTTTCGGGCGCTTTGCGCCGTCCCTATCCCCGCCGGCGGGCGGCTGCGCCTGCGCGCTCGGCGCCCTGTCAAGGCTGGCGCATGCGCCCTTCCTGTCGGTCCCT